AAGAAGAATTTTTCAAGGCTCTTTATCATCTTGTTTAAAGCTGACAAAGGCTAGACGAGGTCTTCCAATTTCAGTATTCTGTGAGTTACTCAAAATTAGAGCAAAGGATATTCCTATACCTCAATGAGTATGGATATACTTGGCCAATTCCCTGTTCTTCAGAATCATAGTTCTTAATATTCTTGACGATCTCATGCTTGGGAGTGCTTTTCTCGTGAGAACTTTGAGGAAGATGTTACATACGGATGATGTGAAAAGCTTGTTTGAATAGTACTGGCTGTTCTCTTAAGGCAGAGTTTTGAAACCAGAATTTTGAGGGTAGTGCTGGGAGATTTCTTCCCTTTGCCCTTTGAATGGGACCGGGGGCTGCTCAACTGCCCAGCCCAGCCTCTGGTCCAGCTGTGATTCTAATTTTCCTTGTGTTCAACAAATATTCTCATTTTCTATATAAACCATGATATGAAAAAAGGCACTATTTCCCTGAGAAGTAGAACAGTGCTTTGGAAGTTTGACGAGGACAGATACTGTTTTCCTTATCAGTCAGGATCTTTGATTGCAGACAACAGAAACTTACTCTAGCTAATTCAGCCAGCTAGACTGAGTTGTCTGTGGCTGTTCATGTTAAATTTATTCCCAGATCAGTAAACATTTGAAAGTGTTTTCTATATCAGGCACTGATCTAAGGTTTTAGGTATACAGAGAATCTCTCACAGGAAACCCCTTTCATATAAGTAATTTAAGATGTTTGATTATGCCTAGTTTCTCTCGTACTGTAGTTAAGGGGAAGCTCCCTTTATCTCTGTTGACTGGTTGGGAAATGATTGTATGTTCCACCAAAGGGGTTACAAATATTTTAATCTCTGTTAGCATGTAAAAGTCTCCATAGGCTGTTTATAGTATCACTTTCTTCCTTTTCTCCCTATGAAAGTTATTTCAGGCTTTTGGTAAAAAAATCCATATTAATGTCCTATTTGTTTGTATTTTTGTCATTAAAAAGATCTGAATACCTGGTGATAGGATTGCCTTTCAGGTTTTTTTTGTTTTGTTTTGTTTGGTTTGGTGGCTCTTCAGGAAGAGAGAAGTTAAGGAGAGAAGGACCGGCCCTGACAGAGGCTCTGGAACTTAGAGAAAGAGATTGAAAAAAGGTTCATCTCTACAGATAGCCAGAAACAGCCTCTCCTAAGTGTTATAAAAGCTACCTCTTTCTACTTTCTGTGAATGTTACCTTTGATTAATTTGGGGGGTACCTTCCTTTTGCTCCTCAAGACGACTTTATGGGTTCATCTTAAACTGATCATCATTTGGAGAGTTGGGGGTACACAAATGGGAATAGGCAATGTAACTTGTTCTTATCCTAACCCCTTAGCACTAGTTTTAGGCACTGAGTCATCTTTGTGTGGAGAGGCTTTGAACTTTTACAGAATTATTTAGTAAGTATATTTTGTTAGTAAATGGTCAGAATGTACACTTGGAATGTTTTTTAAGATAATTGGAGATGATTCTGAAGTATAGTGCATTTACATCTAATTTATGTAAGTTAAGTCAAATTCTGTTAAACTATACCCGTTCTTTATGAAGTAAATGGCCTTTAAAGCCCCCAATTTGTTTTTTGCTTAAATGTGAATGCCATGCTGAAAAAGAATCTCTCTTTCTCTTTGTGTGTATTAAATACAAATGTTTATTTTTAAGAAAACACTTTGAGTTTTAATTATAGTAATATGTTTTATTTGTCTGCAAAAGTTAGCCACTGTCCCCTCAAATGTGGCTTTTGAAGAAAGACCAATTTTGGTGTTTTTCTTTGGATAGTTCTTACAATAGTTCTTTGTTCTGTTATTGTCTTGCATTTCACCTTAATCTTTTATTTTTTCTCCATATGGAGAATCATGGATGATGTGCCAGCTGGTTTCAAACACATACCACATGACAGCTGGTGCTCAGCATTTGATGTGAGGAGTTTGTGGGGATTGAGCTCATTCAAATCATGATCACAAAGGTCCTTAACTTAATCTTTTCTGCAAACACTGTACCATATTAAGGTAACATTCATAGTTCCGGGGATTAGGACCCAGTATCTCTGGCCCAGGCCACCATTCATCCCACTACATTCTGTCTTCTGGCCCCCAAATACTTACATCCATTCCACATGCAAACACATTCGTCCTACCCCAGCATCCCCAAAGTTTTGACTCATTTAGCATCAACTCAAATCTAAATCTCACCTAAATATCATCAACTCAAAAGTCTCAAATCTCATCATCAAAATTATCTAAACCACATATGAGTGAGGCTTTAAGTATTATCCATTCTGATACAAAATCCCCTTCCATTTGTGGATTTTGGAACTAGAAGACATGTTATCTGCTTCCACAATACAGTAATGAGATAGGCATTTGATAACAGTTATTAGATATTCTAATTCAAAAAGGGAGAAATGGAAAGAGGGAATCAGTAGTCCTAAGCAATTTCAAAATCCAGGATGGCAAATTCCGTCAGGTTTCAAGGTCTGGAATAATCTTCTGTCTTTAAGTATTTTCTTTTCTTTTTTTCATGAAGGGGTGGGGGTTGTGAGGAGGGTTGTTCAGTAGCCTTGTTTGTTTTTATTGAGACAGAGTCTCACTTTGCCTCCATGGGTAGAGTGCAGTGGCATCATTGCAGCTCACTGCAATCCCCATCTCCTGGGCTTTAAATGATCCTACTGCCTCAGCCTCCCGGGTAGCTGGGACTACAGGCGTATCTGCAGCACCCCCAGGCTGGGTTTTTTTTTCCCCCTTTCTCTTTGGTAGAGATGGGGTCTCACTCTTGCTCACGCTAGTCTTGAACTTCTGAGCTCAAGCAGTCCTCCCGCCTTGGCCTCACAGAGGCTTGAGCCACTACCTGGCCTCTTTAAGTATTTTCTAAAGACAAATATCTAAGAAGTAAAAGAACATATTCATTTAAAAATTTTTCTCGTATATTGCTGAACCTTTCACCAGAAAAGTTATGTCAATTTACATTTCCACTAGCAATTTATTGTATTATTCTTTTACCTAGTCATTCTGATCAATATGTTATCATTATATATATATAATACAAAACCTTCAAACTTTGCTATTGTCATATGAACAGAAATTTTGAATGTTTTGGTGTTAGTGCTTTTTCACATTTTTTCCTCAGTTTGTCTTTACTGTTGATATTCTTGCCAGGTTTTCTATTTTCCTTGATTTATGTGATGTCTTTATATAGACTTACTGATTTAGAATTGTAAGGATTTTCCCAAGTTTTAATTTTAATTTTTAAAATTTTTTATGTACAGTCAAATCTGCTGTTTTTCTTAGAGTACGCTTTGCACATGTAGATTGAATGTCCTTCCTCTACTTGCTGTCAGATAAAAGTGGTTTTAAAAAATTTGGCACCAGAAAGGGCAAATTATGTGGAATATTCATGTTGTACTATCTTTATTTTTGAAAGTGAGTATGTCTGATCTTCTTGGGAATTTGACATAGTCCTCTAGAAAGGCCGTTCCCTGAAAGCTGATCGAGGAGCCATGGCCAGGAGCTCTGTGCTCTCATGCTTGCAGTCCTCTCCAACTAGTGTGGCGGCTTGGTCCAACTCTCAAGTCTCAGGTCTACAGGTTGAGCCCTCTAGTAAATCTGACTCCACTGAGGTGAGAAAAGGTTTGGATTGCAAAGATGCTTTTGGAGTTGATAAATAAAGGTATAATAAACTTTGGAGAGTGAATGCAGAAACAAATTGTTTTTAATATGAATATTAAACCAAGATTTGCTACAAATGGCTTAAAAACCCATCTCTGTTACAAAGTGTATAAATTCTAGAGGAATAATTCTCTAAGATTTATTGATAATAGAAAGCAGTGTGGTTCATTGAGTAAAGCATGTTATAAATAATATTATAGTTTGATTTCAGTTGTAGGGAAAAAATACATGTCTGTATTTATGTATAGGAAAAAAAGTCTACAACAGAAAGTAAACAATGATTATTTTGTGGTAATTGGATTGATAAGTGCACATAAAAATTTTTAAACACTGTTATGTAGACGTGTATATATATAAAATTTTTGTATATTTTTGTTTATCTTTT